GACGTCCTCACTCGGACAAATCGACTCAACCACCCGCCATCCTTGAACTCCACAGTACAGGCGAAAAGAGATCTCGAGGCTCGACGACGAAGCTTGATTAAACCTCCACAAAGGAGGCGAGGGTTGTACATCCGGATCAGGTGATTTAGAGTGAAGGGCATCCACTCTATCATGCCCGAATAATGCCTGATCGTATAAACCACGTGCCAGAACGAGGGATGGATCTGACCCAGGGTTACCTGATAACTCCGGCAGAAATCAAGGAGCACAGGATCTATCAGGGTGAAGCCGATCCCACCGGTCCTAAAGTAAATGGGTAGTTATATACGCTCAGAAAACCAGCCCTATAAGTTGTGATATCTTCATCCCGAGCAGGTATCTCCGCAAGCACAGCATACCCCCAGCCGCAATCGACTTTCACTCTCCCTATTTCCGTTATGGAGCTGATGAAGCGAGTTACCGATTCGCGACATCCCGATTTAGAAGAAGGTCTTTCGACCCTGAAGTCCGAGGTCATCACGAACGATCCCGGGACACACTCCTCGACTCGGGGAGGGGCCGTCACTTCACCTTGGGAGAAGAACGAAGATGATGAGCCCGCCATATCACAAGAAGCTGCTGTAGAGATGTTCGTCATCCTTGAAAAAGTCCAAAAAGGGAGAAAGCAAAGGGAGTCGAGCTCCTCGGAAGAGAGCAAAGAGATACAGAAAGACGGGCTTCACAAAAAAGTTCCAAATGGGATCCGGATATGAAGAAGCGAGCTTTTATAAAGGCATCGCAGGTACGTTAAAGAGAGCCAACCACCGCAGTCAGCATTGAAGCCCGCAGCAGCAACGCCCGAGGCGCATCTCTGCATCCCGCAACCATCCTCAGGGACGCCTGGGGAAGCAATGATTCGAAATTGTTTCTCATCACTCCCCGTCGCCTTCCGCTCTAAGAAACACGGAGACTATCTGTATGCTGTAAAATCAGATGACTTGATTTTCTGCTATCAAGATATTTTAGAAGCCTTCCTCCGAACCCCGAGGGTGGAAGTCTTCGATCAAGTTCTCGGTCTCAGGGATCGTTGGAGCCCGAATCGAAGGGGGCAGGGTCCGAGGTCGGAATAGAAGAAAAGGTCTCCCAGGTGCATGGCTACACCTGACAGAGCCGGTCTATCTGTACCCTACTGAGATGACGAGTAATAGGCCGTCCCATCTTTCTACTCTTGTAAATAATATATGCATATTTTACCGAGTCCCCTCGCCTATATAAGGGGGACTCGCCTCACCTTGTAATGGACTGATGTTGCTCCACTTCTCCAATAAGCAATAATATCTCTCTCTATCTCTTTCTTCTAAAGTTAGGTCGCCCTAGCATCTTAATGCTCTTCATTTGTTCTTCGTCATTTAGCTCAAGATTGATCATATAAAGCCGTATTTACTTGTATATTCATCTGTTATTCCCTTCCCGAATACCCTCGATAGGCCTGAGGTAGGCTCGAGGTCTGGCCCCGAGGTATCTATTGGCTTGTTCTAAGCTCGGGAACGCCCCTTATTGATTCGATTATCGTTTTTGGCTAGCTCGATCTTTTCTGTTTTACTCCACATTTATCACTAATCACCCTTTTAAACTAGCTCGGGAATAGATCACGTATTTTTAGAATCCCATTTACAAATTTAATTGTTGTTACCATTTTTACGGTAAACATCCTTCATCATTAGAAACTGGCAAGACAATCAAATATTCTTCACTTGTATGCTTAAAGCCTATTCCAAGGGGAACTTTCTTAGTAATGATGAACAGTGTGTAATTTTGGTTTGAAAGTAGATGTTTATGCCATCCTTTGGCTTGTAAGGGGCTTAAGACGTCATGAAGTCCAAGAAATCACAAATATAGAACCTGAACTATTTTTTTTTTCTTGCGAATTCGAAGTCTCAAATTCCGGAAACTTATTTATTTGAAATAGGAAAAAGTTGAACTCACAAGGGTATGTACAATGCATAGTCCAAGGGCAGTGCCACCATGCCTGAGTACGAAAGTAATCAAACAATGAAATATCTTTAGTTAGGTATTAAATAGCTTTAAGGTGTGTAGGAAGTAAATTCATTCAGTAGGTGCAGCACTACAGACACATATCACTATATCACTAAAGAAATCGGGAGCGCTTGCCTTACCTAGTAGGGCAGCCAACCAATGCTCAAACACTTATGAATCGACCGTCCGGGCCTGTCAAGTTAGTCCTTCGTAAAAAAGTCCGTAGGGCCTTAGGCTCGGCGAGGTGGGTTGGAAAGATAGAGAGTTGATGAGGAGCATACTTGTCTTGCCATAAGCAATTTATGTAGCTTTTGTGAGCTGCAAGATGGTTGGGATAATTAGTTCTATTGTGGCTCTATAAACCTGCAAAGCAGTGGATATATAATTAAGTTGCAAAACAATAGGTGGTAAATCATCTTGTAATGAGAAGGGAACAAAAAGGTAGCCGAAATCAGTTATGAAAATTTTGTGCACCGCCTTTCTATAAAGCAACAGTCATTGTAAATAAATCTTGTATTGAAAAAAAAGTAAGGCTAGGCATAGGCAAATATATTTAAAATGTGGATAGGCAAGTCAAAGATAAATAGAATGATATATTTCTTAAAAATAGAAACTCCAAACAGAAAGGATAGCAGAATGTTAAAAAATGAAACTACTATCAATTCTTAACTGGTTAAATTTACTTTTAAAGAGCAATTCAAGTTGGCTTTGATGCAAGAAAAGAGGAGATTATGAGGTTCTATGCAAGGCTTACTTGTTCTGATACAGGTGGATTTTAAAGCTTCTGCTCTAAAGCCTTGGAATTACATTCTTTACCAGAATCTGATGCTATGTCTTGCACCAACTAAAGCTTCATCTCCTTTGTAGCTTCTGATTTAAGTTTTGAACAAACTGTCATGAAAGAAAATTTGTGTTGTTTTTTAAAGCTAGAGGAAAAAAGTAAAGTTGCAGTTGTAAGTTTAAGCAAAAATATTATGACAGTGAAAAGATGAGTCAGTATCTCTTTACTGACATAACATTCAAGGGAATTTCCAAATCTCTCAGTAAATACACTTCTTAGTTGGCGTAATTCTGACACGCCGGCAAATCTTGCTGCTACAAAAATCATAGACGATACAACTTCTCTGGACTCCTCAGGACATTCCCTATGAACAAAAATTACCAAGAATGAACTAACAGGTGATAAATCATCTTGTATTGAGAAGGAAAGAAAAAGGTAGTTGAAATCAGTTATGAAAATTTTCTACACAACCTTTGTCAACAGTCATTGTAACTAAATCTTGTATTGAATTACTTAACTAAATCTTCTACGTATGAGATGAAAAGATACCCGATCATTTGTAACATGCTCATGTAGGACAACATCAAGACAAAACTCATACTTCTTAAAATAAGCAATGAAGCCCACTTTCTATAATACAACCAAACATCAGTTCCTCTCAACAACAATCTCTTTTCCACGATTATTTTGATCTATCAGTAGTACAATTTGTGGTGTTTTCATGTTCTCTGGCCTTGTCCAACATTTCATGATCTTTTATTAGATCTCCAACCTCAAAAGAATGCACAATTAAATGTTTAACATTTAACAAACATATGTTGCTGGAGAAACTTAGAATAAAATTAATTCTCAATATTCTTGAAAATTGTTGGGACTAACATAGATATAGAAGCGATTATGCTTGGAACTGGATTTCAAGAAATAACCAGTGCCCCATTTGATGCCAGATTGAAAAATATTTAGTTCCCCAGCTGCTTGGAGTTGTCATCGATAAGCGATAGTATTACTCCTATTATATATTTTTTAATAAATTCTTTCTAAGTAATATTTCATACCTAGTAGAGGTCAATGAATGGAAATGATGGTTGGTAATCCATATTCTTGCAACTCCACAATTTAATTGAATTGATTGACTGCAAATATAGATAGACAATTTAACAAATAAAGTACATGTGACTAAGCAGTAACAGGATATATCAAAGTAAAGTAAATTTAGAAGAATGTTTACCTCATTCAACTTTATCTTTCTCTGTAGTATGAGCAACTATATATTGAGTATGTACACTGAACTTGTCATTGTTGCTGCTCATTTGATGATTACTCATTCAAAACTTCTATCCTCTAAATTCCGGAAAACTTCTTTATACACTACATTTGTAGCTTCATTTGTTATTTTCACATCTTCATCATAACATAAGATCTTCAACCCTTTTCTACTTGTTACTCTTGAAAGTGCAACGTATAGTTGTCCATGAGTAAACACAGGCTTCTTCAAAAATAATCCCACATTACATAATTATTGACCTTGAGTTTTATTGATGGGCATGGCAAAAGATAGAATGACTGGAAATTGCCTTCTTTGGAACTTAAAAGGAATTCTTGCATCAGATGGAGTAAGTGTCATTCTTGGTATAAAAACTTTGCCTCCAGCCATTTTTCCTGATAATACTTTGGCTTCAATTACCCGATTTCCAAGTCTTGTGATGATCAATCTTGTACCATTACACAATCCTGACGATTGATCTGTATTTTTTAACAACGTCACAGGAACACCTACCTTCAAAGTGATAGAGTGATTTGGAATACATGAACATTTAATACTATTTAGAAATTCAGGTGTATGTACATGTTCCAAAGATGTAAATGCATGATCAGACATGCAAATTGTATCCGAACCTAAATATGATTTATCTTGACTATTGTTGAGAGAAACCATGTAATCATTCACCGATTCCACCATCTGAAGAGTTGGGGCAAGAATTGCTTTTTCTTGAAGGTATTTTATATCTGTGAAATGTCTCAAGAAATCAGAATATGTACTTTCTACAATTCCAGCTATTGGATCATCACAATTATATATGAGAAGATCATCGGGCATTTCTACTTTCTCAATGCATCAATGGAACATCCAATCTTTCCATCACCTATTACCAAAATCCATTCAGAAAATTGTTTTAATCATCCAAATCTGCACCAGATATATTTTCTTGCAATCTCATATTTGTTGTTAGCTTTAAAACCTGACAGTGGGGCCACAAATACAAAGAATTTAGAGTTGCTTGAATAATCTCTTGCCTAGTACCTTTTGTAATTACAGGCAAGATTTGTCTGAAGCCACCTCCAAGAATAATTGTTTTACCTCCAAATGGCCGATCTAAATTTGACGGATCTCTAAATCTTAGAATCTCTCTAAGAGTTTGATCAAGAGCTTCAAAATAGTATTTATGCATCATTGGTGCCTCATCCCAAATGATCAATTTTGCTTTCACAATCAACTTTGCTAAAGGACTGCCTTGTTTTATATTGCATGTTGAATCTTCAGTTGGATTTAGAGGGATCGCAAATCTTGAATGTGCAGTTCGACCTCCTGGTAACAAAAGAGAAGCAATACCACTTGAAGCAACATTTATCACAATATCGCCTTTAGATCGTACGCCAGAAGACAATATTTTCCACATAAAAGTTATGCCAGTTCCTCCATGATCACATAAAAAGAATAACCCTCCTTTGTCTTCATTCACTGCAGATATGATTTTATCATAAACAGACTTCTGCTCAACTGTTAATTTCATGTAACGACCCGGTCGGTCGTTTCATGAGCTACCGCTTTGTTTCCCCCTTTTCTTCTTCTTTATGATTTGTTCATCTGTGTTATATGGTATCGGGTTGGTTGGTACGAATTCGGAATGGTTTTGGAAAGGTTTGAGACACTTAGTCTCTTTTGAGTAAGCTTAAGTTGGGAAAAGTCAACCGGATGTTGACTTATGTGAAACAGGTCTCAGATGTGAATTTCGATAGTTCGAATAGCTTCGTGAGGTGATTTGGGACTTAGGAGCGTGATCGGAATGTATTTTGGAGGTTCGTGGTAGATTTAGGCTTGAATTGGCGAAATTGAATTTTGGCGTTTTTCCGGTTGATAGTGCAAATTTTGATATCGGGGTCGGAATGGAATTCCGGAAGTTGCAGTGGGTCTGTTGTGTCATTTTTGCCGTGTGCAAAATTTTAGATCTTTCGGATGAGGTTTGAAGGACTTTTTGATCAAATGCGGAATTCGGATGTTTTGAAAACCTTAGGCTTGAATCCGATGTTATTTTGTTGATTTGACGTTGTTTTAGGTGTTGTGAAGATTGGTATAAGTTTGGATAGAGGTATATGACTTGTCCATACTTTTGGTTGAGGTCCCGGGGGCCTCGGGATGATTTCGGGTGGTTGACGGGATGTTTGGAGTTTGAAATTTACAGCTGAAGCTGCTGAAGTTCCTGTCATAACCGCACCTGCGGCTTGGGGACCGCAGGTGTGGGCCCGCAGAAGTGCAAGGAGGGTCGCAGATGCGGCCAAGGTTGAGGAATATTGGAACCGCAGATGCGGTGGTTCGAGCGCACCTACGGCAGTGCAGGTGCGGGGTTTTTATCGCAGGTGCGATTCTTGACGGTTAAGTGGATTCTCCAGGTGCGCACCTGGGACCGCAGGTGCGGATCCGCATGCGCGAGAGTTTGACCGCAGAAGCGGTTTAGCTGGGGCAGAACATATAAATTAAGTCCTTCGCAAATTTTTAGGTTATTCCACCATTTTCATATACGGGTTTGAGCTTGGGAGAGCAAATTGAAGAGGGAATGTAACGACCCGGCCGATTCATGAGTTACCGCTCCGTTTTCACCTTTTCTGCTTCTTTATGCTTTGTTCATCTGTGTTATATGGTATCGGGTTGGTTGGTTCGAATTCGGAAGGGTTTTGGAAAGGTTTGAGACACTTAGTCTCTTTTGAGTAAGCTTAAGTTGGAAAAGTCAACTGAATGTTGGCTTATGTGAAATAGGTCTCGGATGTGAATTTCGATGGTTCGAATAGCTTCGTGAGGTGATTTGGGACTTAGGAGCGTGATCAGAATGTGTTTTGGAGGTCCGGGATAGATTTGGGCTTGAATTGGCGAAATTGGAATTTTGACGTTTTCCGGTTGGTAGCGGAGATTTTGATATAGGGGTCAGAATGGAATTCCGGAAATAGGAGTAGGTCCGTTCTGTCAATTATGATGTGTGTGCAAAATTTCAGGTCATTCTGACGAGGTTTCATAGACTTTTTTTTATCAAAAGCGGAATTCGGAAGTTTTTGGAACCTTAGGCTTGAATCCGATGTTATTTTGTTGATTCGATGTTGTTTTAGGTGTTTCGAAGATTGGTATAAGTTTGGCTAGTGCTATATGGCTTGTTCGTGCTTTTGGTTGAGGTCCCGGGGGCCTCGGGGGTGATTTCGGATGGTTGACGGGAGCTTGGAGTTGGAAAGTTGCAGCTGAAGCTGCTGAATTCTATCATAACCGCACCTGCGGATTGTGGACCGCAGGTGCGGGACCGCAGAAGCGGGCAATTAGTCGCAGATGCGGAATTGGGTGAGAAGAGCTGAAGGCACAGGTGCAGAAGCTGGGTCGCACCTGCGAGACCGCAGGTGCGGTAGTTCATGCGCAGGTGTGGTTTTGAGGTTTTAAGTGGAGATCGCAGAAGTGGCTCCGCAGGAGCGGAAATGGGCCGCAGGTGCGAAAACCCTGGGCCAAAAAGTATATATACCCTCCTTCGCGAATTCTTGGTTATTCCACCATTTTTACATACGGGTTTGAGCTTGAGGGAGCATTTTGAAGAGGGATTTCAAGGGAATTTCGTGGAGGTAAGGTTTTTGGACCCTAAACTTGTTTCTATGATGATTTTTGACTGAATAAGCTTGAAATCTATGGAAATTAGTAGCAAAAATTGGGGGTTTAGGGCTTTGAAATTGGAGACCTTAATCTAGGGATTTGAGGGGTCATTTGTGGTTGGATTTTCGTATTTTTGATATGTATGGACTCGTTGGAGGATAAGGATTTTATTGATGTAAATTTTTTCGGATTTCAAGATGTGGGCCCGGGGGTTGGGTTTGGTCAATTTCGGGATTTGTGTTGTAATTTGATTATTTTCGCACGGGTTTCATTCCCTTAGCATATTTTAATGTTATGATTCTGATTTTGGGTAGATTCGACGCGAGTTGAGGCCGAGTCGAGAGGCAAGGGCGTCGCGGAGTAGTATTTCATCCGGTTTGAGGTAAGTAACGATTCTACATCTAGACCTGAGGGTATGAAACCCCGGTATTTCGTATTTTTTTTATAAATGAGGTGACGCACATGCTAGGTGATGAGCGTGTGGGCGTGCATCGGTAGGGATTGTGACTTGGTCCGTCCTGTAGCGGCTATTAAGCCGCGTATTTGATTTGAAATCTTATGATATTCCGAATAGTAGAGACTTATGCTACATTTTGGGTTGAATGCCATGTTTGGGGCCTTTGTGCCGACCTGTTTAGACCCTTACGGGTATTTTTACTACCTCACTCTGTTTGATTTGAAAGCATATCCTCAGCCATGTTTTACCTGCTTATTTTGTTTAATCCGGTTTCATTGCTCTACTTCTTCATAAATAAAAACTGTTTGGCCTGAGTTTCCCTGAATTTTCACTAAGGTGCCCGAGTGGCCGTAAGACTAATGACTGGGAGAGGTTGGGAACGCAATGGTGAGGATTATATATACATTATGGATGGGGTTGCACGCCGCAGCGATATTATTTATATATATTATGGATCGGGCTGCACGGCGCAATGATGTGTATTGGATCGGGCTGCGCGCCGCAGTGATATGACGCTTGGGCTGTAGGAGCCCCTCCGGAGTCTGTACACTCCCAGTGAGCGTAGTCAACTATATATATTGGATCAGGCTGCACGCCGCAGCGATTATTATATATATATATTGGAGCGGGCTGCACGCCGCATCGATTATTATTACTATTAATACTATGAGCTAATTATTGAGCCGGAGTGCTGAGAGTGGGTACTGTGTGACGAGAGCTGAGTCACGAGTGACTGAGAGGCTTACCCTAGGGGCTATACTTATGAGTGATATCTTGCCGATGGGCCTGTTTATGATATTTATTGTTTTCACTCTTCTTTTATACTAAGCCTCTATTAAAAATGTTGAATAAATGATTTCAAAGACTTTGATTTACTGGAGATTTTACGAGTGAATTGATTATTGAACTGCGGATATTTGATTTGATGTTTCTGTTGAGATTTCCTGATATGTGATTTTTAAATGCTCATCACTGCACTCAGAATTTATGTTCTTTAAATACTTACTGAGTTGGCGTACTCACGTTACTCCCTACACCTTGTGTGTAGATCCAGGTGCTCGTGCATCAGAGTGAGAGCTTCCAGCACTCTCGGAGTATTTTCGGAGATCGCAAGGTAGCTGCACGGCGTTCGCAGCCCTGCTTTCCCCTTCCTATCTTAGTATTTTGTTATTTCAGACTTATAATGCATTATTCAGTTAGTTTCTGGGTTGTATTTAGAGGCTCTTGACCAGTGACACCGGAATTATAGGGCTGTGTTGGTATTTTGTACTGGCTTTCCGCATATTCTGTTTTATTCATCTATTTCGCATGACGAATTTGAAACTTATTCGATACTAGCAAAATGATTTTTATAAGAGATTTCGTCGTGGTAAATGTTTGGTTGGCTTGCCTAGTACTGTGGTAGGCGCCATCACGACCGAGGTATTTGGGGTCGTGACAAGTTGGTATCAGAGCCTAGGTTACATAGGTCTCACAGGTCATGAGCCGGTTTAGTAGAGTCTCACGAATCGGTACGGAGACGTCTGTACTTATCCTCGGGAGGCTGCAGAACCTTTAAGAAAAACTTTACATTCTTGAAATTCCTGTCGTGCGAATCTGTTATTCTAGTACAAAACTTCTGTTATTCTGTTCTCTCACAGATGGTGAGGACACGTGCTACCGGTCAGGACGGACGACCACCAGTACCACCAGCTAGAGCCACTAGAGGCCAAGGACGCAGTCGAGGCCGTGGTAGGGGCAGGGGTGTAGCCCGCACATCAGCTAGGGCAGCACCTGCAGATCCACCAGCCGCCCCAGTTCAAGATCAGGTCCTAGTTTTGGACGCTCCCGCAGCACCAGCTCAGGCACCGGATGTTCCTATTGTGATTCCAGGCCTTTAGGAGGCCCTAGCTCAGATTCGATCACTATGCACTGGCCTGGCTCAGGCAGTCTCAGTTACTACGGCTGCAGCTACTTCTCAAGCCGGGGGAGGCACTCAGACTCCCGTTGCTCGCACACCTGAGCAGATCGTGCAGGGACTTCAGACACCGGGGGCACCTCCAGCCCAGCCGGTTGCACCAGCTCGGGAGTATGTGGTACCAGTTATGCCGGACGACGCGCAGCTTCGGTTGGAGAGATTTGGTAGACTCCAGCCTCCGACTTTCAGCGGTACAGAAGGCGAGGATGCCCAGGGCTTCTTCGACAAGTGTCAGAGGATTCTTTGCACCGCGGGTATTCTGGAGACCAGTGGGGTCGTATTTACTACCTTTTAGTTTTCTGGAGCTACCTTCACTTGGTGAGAGGCTTATGAGAGGTGTAGGCCTGTTGATGCAGCGCCCCTTTCCTGGCAGTAGTTCTCTGTTCTCTTTTTGGAGAAGTATGTGCCACAGTCTCGCAGAGAGGAGCGACGCAGGCAGTTCGAGCAGTTGCGTCAGGGAGATATGACTGTGACGCAG